AAAATGTTTGACTTAACAAACTACAGTAATCTGACACGTCTCCAGATTAATGTAGGTACTATCTTATTTTTTTCTTTGATTCGTTCTTTGATACAACCCACACTGTGATTTGTGTGACACGCGTACATGCATAACTCACTCACCGATCACATAGCCCTTCCAACCCCCAAGAGGAATTTTTGCTCAAAAATACTCAAGTTAGAGACCTTTTCGCATTTTATACGAGTCGTAAGTTTACCCTTTTTACACAACCCAACCCAACACAACACAACACGACAACACTACTTCACCGAAAATGCAAAGAAAGAGAAAAAAACCTCTCTGACACATTAAAAGTCTGATTTAATTAAATTGCACTTTAACTTGGTGCCACGCAGTCTTCAAAGAACATTTGAGCAGTTTTGATACTTTTTACCTTTAAAAATATCGGACTGAAAAGAATGTCATAAAATGCCCATCAAATAAAAAGAAACTGCTACTGCAGAGACGTAAAAACCGTCCAGAAGTGAAGCTTTTTTTGTTTAATATCCTGGGAACAATAGCCGATAACTTGTCAGCTCTAATTGAATTTACTCTCATATGGCATGGGTTGCACTAGAGCGAATTCTGCTTGTTTTACCAAAATTTGGGTCAAAATTGGAGCTTTTCCTAATGCGACCCCTACGAGCAGAATTTGGAAAAATTTGTCAGTGGAACAAAAAGATCAGAGACGCCGTAGTGTATGGGTGGGGTAGGCAGATTTTCCAAAATCGCCCAAAGAAAACAAAAATTCATTAAACATGTCAACTGCGTGTTTATTTAAGAAAATTGATGGACAGTATGCCTTCACGGGAAAGCATCATTGTTTACAAAAGCGTTTTATCAGTGTTCACACAAGAATTTAGCCTTGTTGTGTGGTGTGCGACCGGAAAATGAACCCCAAAAAAATTGGTCTGTGCCGATATTTTTGGGTCTTTCGGACCGACCAAAAAAAACATTCGCTCTAGTGCGACCCATGCCATATAAAAAACAAAAGTGTGAAGTTACCATTTGTAACTAAAGATAGCAAACATCTCGTGGGAAAGAATGGTGACGATTCGTCAGCTCTAATTGAATTTACTCCCTTGTGAAAAACAAGAGTGTAAAATTACCCTTTGTAGCTAAAAAATAAAAATATCTCGTTATATTTGCATGCAACAAGAACAAAACAATCGTCACCTGCACTTACTGTTGTAAACGTTAGAACTGTTTTAAATCTAAATGGTCTCGTCTCCTCTAAAACATGTCCTAAGAACTAGAAGCGACGATTCGTGAACTCTAATTGAATTTACTCCTTATGAAAAACAAAAGTATCAAGTTACCTTTGTAACTAAAAATAAAAATTTCTCGTTCCATTTGCATACTCAAACCTCAAGGCTCATCTCGTTCGTAACTAAAATCCTCAGTCTAACCCACAGAAAATGTCGAAGTAAACCCAGTATATGAATACTTCCTCCTCTTTTACAGAAGAATAAATATGGCCGTTCTAAACTGTGTCGGGATCAAATCTTCTCACATACCATTTACCTTTACAACAAGAAATTTGATTGGCTGTTTATAGTAGATCCAATCTGATTGGTGTGACATACATACATCTCTCACTCACTCACTCACTCACCCATTGACCCGTTCATAACATACCCGACGCGCCGACTAAGAGGTATTTTTTTTACCAAAAAAATAACTCAAAAAGTGTGAAGATCTACACACTGCTATCAACATCCTTACGTGCTTCGCGTAGTATAGAAGGAAAAATTTTACATGGCACGGTTAGCTTTAAACAAGTGGACTGGTTTTCCCTGTTGGCGCCAGCTGTTACTCATAGTGTTATGACGTAACAAACTGATCGCGGCGATACGAGCTGCGCGCGCATCCAGTTAAATTGAAGATTGTGCAAGCGAGCTTTGCTCGAATGCAAGCAATCCCACTGAAGTCAAAGTTATTTTCCTTGGCCTCGTGGACCCGCCTCGTGGTGTCCCCAATTTCTTTGCTATGGCTAACGTTTAGAGAGAAATTCATAAAATAACTGGATGCGTTATTTCATTTAGGCCCGTCCACACTACTCCGGAGGAATTTGAAAACGGAGTTTTCACTCAGAAAACACATCAAATGTTTTCCGTCCACACTACGCTGGAGGATTTTAAAAACGCAACAGTCACCGGTCATTTTGGATTTGTGTTTGAGGAAAACTCGATCAGGGAAATCTCATGATTATCGTGACGCCATCGTTTTTGAAAAGTGTTTTCCGTCCACACTAAAACGAAAAGCAGGCGATTCCAAATTCATCCGGTTTGAAGAGCATTTTCGAAAAGCTCCGTTTTCGTGACGGATTAGTGTGGACGATAAGCTTAACCGTACATATAAAGCGGCGTTTACAAATTTCTCCGTCCTTGTGTGGACGCTGCCTTGGAAAACACACGCACCTTGACTCAAGTTCAATGAGCGCAGTCTGTAGTTGTTCTACTCGTGTATCCACAGACTGTTCCCTGTTAACTTCGTCACCTCTCTCCCTGTCCTGCAAATGAAAACATCAGGCTTAGTTTATTGTGGGAAATAAGATTATGATTAAAGTAGTTCACGGAGTACAGAGGTCCTACCCTAGCCCTTATTTGTCCTTCCATTATCTCCAGCGTTTTTCGAAGTTCTTCGTTCTGGGATTTGCAGTTTTTTAACTCAGCTTTGCATCTCCTGACAGAACAAAGAGAAAACATGTGCAGGTTGAAAAGTTAATTCTCTTTACCAACTGCCATAGATTCTTTATAATTACTAGTGCGAAACTGGTAAGACATCAGTTGCAGATATCAGCTTATTTTCCTCCTCATCAATGCTAAGAAGCTACTGCAGTTATTTGACGATTTTAGCCTGTCTAGAATAATCGGGAGCTCCAAAATAGCAATTACGAAATAGAAAACACGTTCCGTGTTTCGATCGAGTTATAGAAACACGAGTGGAAGTTTGGGTGAACGATAAATTCTGTGGGAACACGAGCCGCAGACGAGTGTTTCCAGAGCTTTTTCGAGTTCTCCCAAACTTCCAGGTGTGTTTCTACAACTTGATAGAAACGCGGAGAACATGTTTTCTATTTCTTTTAGAAAATTCGACAAAAAAAAAGTGAAAACAACTTGTTCACTTTGATCATCAAAGTGTAAATTCTCTTTGTTAGCGCCATCATTACGTCAACAGCTCCTGCTAGTTCTGTGTCTGTATAATAGAAACACAATTTTAAACCAATCAGTGCGCGTATTTTCTTTGGTCTATGTTCTAAAAACACTTCTTAAACACTGAAGCATCAGCTAACTGTAGATTTTAAAATTTTGTATTTTTGAACACGGCAAGCGTGTGATTTTCGTTTAGCTCGAAGCCACGTAAATTAATTAACTGAAATTTTGCGTCGGGGGCATGACTTTGAAGAAACCATTAAAAAAAATCCACAAACCTCAAATCACCGCGGACTTGATCGATTTCTTGATCTTGGGTCTGAGCTGTTGTGAGAAATTTTTCCTGTTCCTAAAATGCCAAAACATAATATGAGACGTTATTATTCTTTTGTTCTCTGACCTTAAACTAAATTAACCTCTTTTAATACATTTTAGAGCTTAAGTCGTCCTCCAACATCTCAAGACCTATTTTTAACAAATTGCTGTGGTGTAAATGTTATTTTCTCGGCAAACTTTCGGATGTTTCAGTTTCATAGCTACAATGAAACGGATTGCCAATTACAAATGAATCGCAATCAAATATTAAGTCTGAATCACATCTGCCCACGTTTCGGCAATGTTGAAAAAAGATTGAATTTTTAATAAATAATGGCTCTAAAGTATAAACAACGCCAAATTAACGTATGTTTCATTGACGCACTGATGATTGAAAACAATTTAAAAATTAACAGGTTTTCTTCTACAAAATATGTGAACGACTTTCTTCTCAATGAACAAACGGACGCTTTTGTCAAAGATTCAACTTTCTCCGAAAAAGTGCCACAGTTGGTCTAGTTACCAGTTTGACACACGGGTCTTGCATGGAGATGTTTACAGATTTCCAGTCAAGACAACGCTGTTTTGACAGCAAATCGGATCGCACAACTCTTCCCGCGCCCAGCACCAAGAAAATTTTCCCGCCCCTGGTACTAAGTGTCTACTCCCGCTCTTGGCACTAAGCGTTTCTTCCCCCGCTTAGCACTATGCGGCGTTTCCCGTGTTTGGCAGTATACGACTTTTTTCACTTTTAGCGTCATCTTCCCGCCATTGCCATTACACGACTTCTCG